TCTTTATGTGTTTGGAAACTGAAGGAGTGAGTTAGGGCCATTCCCTTCAAGTAACAGAAATGTATTTGAGTCAGAAAATTGGAGAATTTATTATGCAGAAACAAGGTCAACAATCCATCTGGACCTCAGAACGGACCTGGGAAGCTGTCAAGATCTAACCTTCAACTTTGTGTGTATGTGTACAGGGTTCATTTACTATGCTGACCTATGATTTTTAAGAAAATGATTTTAACCAGAAGGTGCTTTTAAAGATTTATTTATTTATTTGAGAGAGAGAGACAGAGAGAGACAGAGAGAGAGAGAGAGAGAGAACAAAAAGGAGAGGCAGAGGGAGTGGGAGAACCAGGCTCCCTGCTCAGGAGGGGCTAGATCCCAGGACCCTGGAATCATGACCAGAGCTGGAGGCAGACACAGAACCCACTGAGCCACCCAGGCACCCCCAGAAGAACTTTATTTTCTGAAAATCTATGGATCTCAAAGTTAAATATCCAGGACAGAAGTCCAACTGTGGTTGAAGCAATTTTAGTCAGTTTCAGGGACTACATACCTGATTGGTCTGTCCCTGTGTGGAAGTGATACTTTAGAGGTATTGGTGACAAAGATAATCTAAAGGTTACCTTTCACACAGAGCCTCAGGAAAGATTAATTCTCTAGTAATGTATAACCAGATGTCCTCAGATCTGATTGGAAACAGAGAATTTATCCTTCATCCTACACATTTTAGACTCCTTAACCTATATATATAGTGATTTTTTTTACTAATTTGTTGAATTTATTTTATAGCTTAATTATCAGCTATAAGATTGCTTTGTGCAGTGTGTACATGCTTTCTATTTAGAAGAGAATATTAAAAATACAAACTTTCTTCTTTGAACTTAGTGGAGGAATATGTAAAGCCATATACAAATAAATCTGACTTTAACCAGGATGTTTTATTAAAAACTTGACAGCCTATTATGTCCTTCGAGAAGACTTATATTTTAATGAATTACAAATCTAAATTACACTGTAACCAATTTGTCTTTTCCTTACAATGGTCTGGAAGTGGTGGTAGTAATTCCTTTAAATATTAATCAGGGAACTGAAATTATCTAAGTAAACAATGTCTAGCAACCCCTCCCAAACTCCATTTTATTCTTCACATTTCTTTTTTAATGTTTTTATTATGGTAAAAAAACTTGTAAAAGGAAATGTATCCTTTTAATAAAAATTTAAGTGGGCAGAATGGTATTGCTGATTATATATACTTTGTTGTACAGTAGAAATCTAGGACTTATTCATTTTGCATTGATTGAAATTCCACATTCATTGAACAGCAACTCCTCAGTTCTAACTCCCTACAGCTGCTGGCATACCGGTTCACTTTCTGCTTCTACATGTCTGACTACTTCATGTACCTCATACGTATAGAATCATGCAGGATAGGTTCTCGTGACTGATTTCACTTAACGTAAGATTGTCACAGATGATACCACTTCCTTCTCTTTAAAGGCTGAATAATATTCCATTATATGTATATACCACATTTCCCTTTATATTAACATTCATGGTCATTTAGGTTGTTTCCAATTATCATAATTATCCATTATGAAAAATGCTTTAATGAACATGAGAGTGCAAGTATCTCTTTGAGATACTGTTTTCAATTATTTTATATAAATACCCAGCAATGGAATTGCTAGATCATGTAGTAGCCTTATTTTAATTTTGTGGAACCTAATGCTATTTTCCTGAGCTGCTGCTTCATTTTGCCTTCCACTAACATTCTCTAAGGGCTCTCATTTCTCCACATGCTTGCCAAAACTTGTTATTTTACAAATAGCTTAAATCCCTTGACAATCACAGTTGCTCTTGGCCCTATACTCAGAGAACTTTAGTCCTCCCAATAATGGTGTAATTAAAGGACATAGATGGAGATCCCTAGGATTGTACCTCAGTGTTGTGGCTGGCAGTTAGTCTCATTAAGCAGTGTCCACACAGTATTAGTTATTAAATACATAAATGTATCTTGTTAAGTATTAAATATATATATTGCAATTATATTTATTATATTATCTGTGTATAAGAGAATGCTTCAAATCTTCATCCAGGTATTTTCAATCTCATGTTGGACAGATATCTAACAAGCTCTGTTCTTGTACTGTTCCATCCCTACCATTCTGTCTGCTTCTGTGGTTGGGTTAAAGCCAATAGAACTTAACTCTTCATTGATTTAAATATGTTTTTCTTTATTATTTTTAATTTAATTTAATAAAAAGAAATTGAAAAAATAAACAATGCAAAACTTTATAACAACATGGTAGCCAGGAGTTATTTATTATCAATATTAATTTATTGGATCTAATAGAAACTACTAGTACTTGTATTTTAATTATCCCTGAGGCTACTACTGTTTTATATCAATGTCTGAAAATTAGTACTGCATCATTAAGGAATTATAAAACTATCTTCTGCATCCTTAGTTGGAGAAAGAAGAGAAATACTTAGTGCATTTTACAGATTTTTATTAAAAATGTGTAAAATAATAAAAAAGTTTTAAGCTTAAATGAATTAGAAATGAATAGCATAATTGATAATACAAGAAAAACCGTTCAAAGACTTGCATTCCTTTGGTGACTAAGTATAATATGTTTCATTTTTGAAAGATGGTTTTTCTCATAGCAAGTGAGAAGTCTGAATACAACATTTTTTTTTAGTTTCAATTAGCCAACATATAGTACATCATTAGTTTCAGATGTAGTGTTCAATAATTCATCAGTATGTATAACACTCAGTTAGATACCCTATAGTCACCAACAAGAGAGAGTAGAATAATGAACTACATAAACATATGATAAACCAGACTATAAACTCTTAAATTTCAGTCAGTTATTATTCCATCATGTGTATCTATAGTTATGCATTGCTATGACATAAACAGTGGACTCAACATCATTTCAATGTTCCTCTAACTGGTATGTTGGGAAATAATAGAACAAAAAATCCAGACAAAAACAAACACACAAACAAACCAACACATCTCACATCCACACAACCACACACATATTGACATGTTATAATAAAAAGAATATTCTGTATATAAAGTAAATACTGACACAAAGAACTGAAGAAGCAACTTTACAGAGAGATTTCTCAGATACTTCAGTTTTACATACTGCTAGGGCAGTGTGCAGTGAGAATTTCCAAGAAGTAGGCATCCTGTGTTATCTTCACAGAGAGATTCAGAGAAAACTTTTTTGGATCATTTCTGTAAACACCTTTCAGAACAGGACTGCCAGTTTAGGAACTAAATACATTTGAGATTTATAGATAAAATACTCTCTATAGGACAAAACTTAGTAATTGTAAAAGTTGAGGCAATGAAACTCTATGATTATTCATGATTTTTTTGCCAATAAAAAAAGAGATTAAAAGAGATTCTTACATGTAGATTAGAACTTGAGTGTGCTAATTAAGGGGAAAGGCATTTTTAAAAAATATTTTATTTATTTATTCATGAGAGACACGGAGAGAGAGGTAGAGACATAGAGGGAGAAGCAGGCTCCTTGCAAGGAGCCCTATGTGGGACTTGATTCTGGGCCCTCGATCAAGTCCTGAACTGAAGGCAGACGCTCAACCCCTGAGCCACCCAGGTGTCCCATGGGAAATGGCATTTTTCCCTTCTTCCCAGCTTCTAGCTCAATGTCATATTTCTCACTCCAGATGTGGGAAAAGATGGAAGGGATCTAGAAAATGGAATAATAGAATGGGAATCATGATACTTAAAACTGGACTTTTAAGAGCTGAAATAATACTGAAAAAAATCAAAATTTAATTTATTTATATATTTTTTTAGTTACTGTATATTGCAGTCACTTTTTTAAAAGATAGGGTGACTTATTTTATAAATTTTTACCTGGATGTTTTTACCTCCTAATCTCCTTTATGAAACATGCACCATAGACAATACAGTCGGTAATATTATAAAGTGTTATTTGATGATAGATACTGACTGCATTTATCACTGCGAGCACTGAATAATCTGTAGAATTGTTGAATCAATATATTGTACCCCTGAAAGAAATGTAATGTTGTATGTTAATTATATTTCAATAAAAGCAAATGAAAAAAAAAGAGTGAGATAAATTCTACTTTATTCATTTATATTTTAAAATAAAATAAATTTCTCAACACTTAGTAAAATGTATTCTTAAAGTATTTTGGATCAAATAGCATATTATTATTCTTTTTTTAAGATTTTATTAATTTATTCATGAGAAACACAGAAAGAGAGAGAGAGAGGGAGAGACACAGGCAGAGGGAGAAGCAGGCTCCATGCAGGGAGCCCGATGTGGGGCTCGATCCTGGGTCTCCAGGATCACGCCCTGGGCTGAAGGCGGGTGCTTAACTGCTGAGCCACCCAGGGATCCCCCGCATATTATTATTCTGATATCATTTTTATAATGTATATTTTTAGTCTCAAGATACAGCATATTTTAGAAATACCTTTCTTTGTTTAACACATCAAGACACTATTTGAGCATTTATGTACAAAGTCGCCTTATCTCTATATTTTATAATTCCTATGTAAATAAGGCACAGTGGCAAGGCCATTTTCATATGAATAAGTCAGGTATTCACAAATCAGTATCATTTTCCAAGTATATTCAGTTACCCTTTAAATATGCTAGATATATACTGTAAGAAATTTATAAAATAATTAAAGTAAACCACCAGTTTCTTTAAAAGTTGTCAGTGTTGTTCAACAAATTGGAAATAATCATCCAGAAAAATATTTCAGACCTTATTCATGTATGTATAAATACTTTAACAATGAAATGTTGGCCACTGTATATGTTGTACAGCACTGTTCCTTTCATATTGAAGGGCTACGATTTGTAACTATCTCTTTAGCAAAGAACCACTACTAAATATTAGCAGCAAGAGGAGCAATGGATAGAACATAATGCAACATGGAAGTTGTACTAAACAGGAATATATTAAATTTGTGGTTAGCCCTTTAAAATATTTTATGTGTAAACACTTGAGTGTCATCATTGTGCAAGGGCCATGCCGATCTTCTTCCAATTGTTCTGATTTTAGTATATGTGCTGCTGAAGCAAGTACATGTTTAGACACTTGAAAGACCAGATTATAAGCTAATATTTAAAAGTATGAAAAGTTACATGGTGAAATTGGAGTGGCCTAGTATATTTTCCCCTCCTGAAAAGAAATATAAATTATGTAAATAATTTCATCCTATCCATCCCTTGTGAATGGTCACTTTAATAACAAGCTATATATTCTTCAAAAATAATAAAATGATAAACTCTTAATAAAAAGAAAAAATAGATATGGAGATAAATTGCTTTAAAATCCCAAGGAGCCACAGATAGGTTTACTTAGAACAAGAATATTTAGTGGTCATGTTTACTATTTATATTATGTCAATATTTTACTGTATCTTAGGTTTAATTCTGGTAGAAATGCCAGGGCTGAGGACACTCAGTTCTTATGAGACTCACTTATCACTTCTGTCCTGAAACAAATTAAGTGCAAGTTTTGGAAAATTAGTGCATATTTCCATACAAGAATTCTTAAATATATATAAATACCTGGAAATTTTCAATAATAATAATTATTAATAGTTTCAATTTTATCTGGATAAGTTTATTGTGGATCAGTATTACAGTCCAATGATTATGATCATAACTAAAATTTATAGCCAATCCGAAGAAAATGCATGTTATTAAAATATTTTTAAAATATCAAGGAATAGAGAAAAGTATAATCTGCCCTCTCTCTACTTTGAGACACCCACTTTTCACATATCACTGAATATTCTACCAGGCAATTTAATGTAAATACGTGCAATTGCCTACTCATTTAGTTATTTGTTTGTGTTTGTTTTTACAATGATTGGATTATGCTACATAGATGATTTTATTTATTTTTTTTCTTACTTAAAATAGTAGAGAGTGTTTCTAGAGCAATAATATACTAGTTCAGTAAAAAATAACTAGTTCAATTGCCCACTTGCTGTTGATATTTTAATATCTAGCCTGCAAAGTCATCAAGAGTAGTGTGATGTATTGTTGGGCAAATGGACTTACATTTATGCTTTAACAAAGGCTGTGTTGGAAAAATACTATTTAGGAATGACAACTGGAAGAAAATACAGCTATCTCTTTTGAGATTCTAAAAGATGTTGTTTGGATTTAGCAAGATGAATAGAATGATACTTAAGTTACGTGAGTTTGGAATTTGCTGAACTCTGCTTCCACATAATGTATCAAACAACGACCCTTTGATGTCTCAGTTGTATTTCTGCAGACTTGTCATTAAAAAAAAATTCATTCTAACATAGCATAATAACCATTTCATGAAGATTCTTGAGTGGGAAATGTGTTTCTACTCATTAATTAGCTTGTTTTTTTATCTTATGGGTGTAAAATGATTAACCTGAATGTGTCCTACTTCATGACGGTTAGTCCAAATCCCAAAGATTTGCTGTCTTCCTTTAAGCACATCTTTTTAATAACTTGCTTATAAATGGTATGCAATTTAAATTTTAATACTACCTTCCTTTTTTTCCTTCACTTGATTTTTCTGTTATATTTTTACCACCTTGTATATATCTTGTAAGCTATTTCAAATCCTTTTTATATTGAAACATGGTAAAAATAATTCCATAGAAAAAGACATAAGTAAACTAATAAAATCAGCTCCTTTGTTTATGTACAGATAATTGTGGGGGGGGGAGTTCACATTTTGGCTCTTGGGAATTAAGAATATTGGTAATTTATTTGGTTTCTAAATGTGGCTTATGGGAACAGAGGTTTGTGGATGAAGTATGTAGTTATGAGGTTTATGTTGCAATGAATGCTAGCCACAAGGCAAACTCATGCTCAAATTCTCCTGTCAACCTCTTCAATTTGGTTCATTTATGAATTTAACAAGACCCCAGTAAACTTGATAATACTTTTTGGTTTTAGGGATTACAAAACAAAGCAAAACAAATAAAGCGAATTCCTGCTCTGGACCTAGAATTTTACATTTCTGCAAGTAGTCATAATCCCCTTTAGTGAAAAATGATATTTAGAATCTGCCATTTGGATGATAGCGTATTGTTGCTCTTGGAACTGGTCATCATCCATAGAACTTTTGCAATGAACAAAGCCAAGGAATATGTATAATTTAAAAGAGAAAGTATATTATGAATTATAGTGATTTTTAGATTTGAATTTAGAACTGTAGGATTCTGCTTATCCCTTTAATCTACCTTTGAATTTTTCTCATACACTTAAATTTCTAGTCTCTAAATATTAATGTAATTATTTATTTGATATGTTTATTTCAGAATAAAGATATTAGAATACCACAAACAATATTACTAAAAGCTGTTTAAAGTATTTTTCAGCCCAGCTATTTTCATCCCAAGTTATTTATTTTGGTTTATTTTATAATCAAATTACTGTGCTTAAAAGTTACTTGAATATATCCTCTACACCGACTCATGTTTATTTGTTCTATTTTTCTCATAGTTTTTAGGGATTGGTTTTATTTTCTACTTTGATTTAATTTTGTTTTATAATTATGCAAAACCTTTATAAGCTTCCAATGCCAGGGATCCCTGGGTGGCGCAGCGGTTTAGCGCCTGCCTTTGGCCCAGGGCGCGATCCTGGAGACCCGGGATCGAATCCCACGTCGGGCTCCCGGTGCATGGAACCTGCTTTTCCCTCTGCCTATGTCTCCGCCTCTCTCTCTCTCCATGTGTGACTATCATAAATAAATAAAAATTAAAAAAAAAATAAAATAAAAGCTTCCAGTGCCATATCTACACAGCAGTATATTCAGAAAAGTAAGCTTCTATCTGTTACTGGCTTCGCATTTCTGTCCTCCATAAACTATTTAATTCACTTAGTGGCTTGTTCTTCCATTTGAAATAATTTCACAGGTGTGGACAATTTAGTCATTTTTCTGAAGATAGTTTCCATAAATAGGTTTTAATCATATTCATACTTTATTATAATATCAGAATCCCATGGGATTCATAATTGCCTATGTTAATTTTTTAAGACATTTATTTTTCTATTTTAGAGAAAGAATGCATGCATGTGCATGCAGGGCAAGAGGCAGAGGGAGAGGGATCCCCTGATGTATTGTCTTTTATTAGTAGAACTGAAATGCAACAACCAACCCAAATCATTTCTAGGTGGTAATTATTCTTTTATTATTATGGAGAGATAAAGAGAGTACAGAGTTGGATGAATGATTGGAAAGACAGATAAATAGTAGAAAGATGGAATCTAATGCTATATACAAATAATAATAAATATAAAGTTATATGCACATAAAGAAAAGTTGAGCATTTTCCTTTCCCAAGCCTTTGAAATATGTAAAATTTAAAAAGAAAGGAAAGTTAGGATATTCAGGGAACAAGGTTAATGATTGAAGGAGACCATAAGGCACTAAAGTCAGGTATCAAATGTGGCTCACTTCTTTTATCTTTGAATTTAATTATCAAACAAGTTTATGCTATCTGAGGTTTAAGTATAATATTGGGATATGAAAATATACAATAAAATTCATAAAAATCTAAACATTCTATTACAACCACAGTAGTTTTCAATCCCTAAATTTTTAGTGTACATTTCACCTTTTTTTGTAATGGAAAATTTCAAACACATAAGGGAACTGGTATAATGGACTCTTTTTTGCCTGTCACTCAGCTTCAAAACTTATCAACTCTTGATCAATCCTGGATCATGTACATCAACCCCAACGCCCTGCCACCGCATCCCTAACTCTGTTACTACTGGGTTGTATCAGTGTTTCAACATCAGACTATTTCATTCATATTCCTTTTAGAATATATATCTGTAAAATATATGACCTTAATAAAAACTTATCCACCATACTATTTCATGCCTAAACAAATTTAACAAAAAAATCCTTAATATTGGGACGCCTGGGTAGTTCAGGGGTTGAGCATTTGCCATCAGCTCAGGGCATGATCCTGGAGCCCCAGGATCAAGCCCCACATCAGGCTTCCTGCATGGAGCCTGCTTTTCCCTCTGCCTGTGTCTCTGCCTTCTCTCAATGTGTCTCTGATGAATAAATAAATAAATAAAATCTTAAAAAAATCCTTAATATCATCAAATATCCATTTTGTATTAAATTTTTGCTATGGGATTATAATTTTTATTATTATTTATTTAAATCAGAATTCAAACAAATTTTAGACTTTATAATTTCTTGATTTTGGGGGGTATGTCTTGTTATTGTTCTCGCTTACTTATATCTAAAATCATTTCAGTTCTTTCTGTATGCTATGTACCATTTTTTACTGGAAAGCCTTTTGTTATCTTCAGTCTCCTCATCTGGAATGACTTTCCTACCATTTTTTACTTGGCTAGTTATATTTAATCCTTTGAGTCTCATTTTAAATTTCAGCTGTTTAAGAAAGAATTCTCTGCTTACTTATTATAAAGCCTGATCCCCTCTCTCAACTGTCTTTGTCTATATTCACTGTGTATTTTTTAAAGCACATTATCTCCTTTTAGCTACTCATTTGTTTCCTTATCTTTTAATTTGGCTTCCTGCTGGAACAGAAACCATACACATTTCATTTTTCAGCAAATCCTCAATGGTCAGCACTGTGCCTAATTTATGTAAACCCTCAAGTGTGATTTGTTTAGTGAAGGAGTAAATAAGTCCCTTACTTTCATCCCATGACATTGGTTTCCTACATCAATAGAATGATAAAAATTGTCCAATGGGAATTCTTTCACATTTCTATTTTTCACTTCAAACATCACCATATTTTTCAATTATTTTATTCTCTCCAGTTTCAGAGAAACGCTTAACTTAGTTACTTGAACAACCGGTCTCAACTCTGCCCAGCCCTGCCTGGGTTTCTTTTTGTATCTTTAGTTTCTCTCTTGTCTTCTAGTGACTCCTTCTACTCAGCTGCCAAGAACCCAAGAAATTCAGTCCTTGACTGTGTTCTCCTTTTTCTTGCCCTTCTGTGTCTGATGCTTTAAAACCATAGGCTATTCCCTGTACTATTTTACAACCCACTTCATCATCTAATGTGGCCTCTGCCAACAGCCCTCACTAAAATG